AAATTTTTATAAATAATTTCATTTCAAGTTGTTAGATGTTATTTATTATGGTTGTTATTCAGTAAATATTAGGCTTACCTAGTTCCTAAGACTAGGTGCCATCACGATATCCAATGGAGGAAAAATTGGGTCGTGACATTAAAGATCTAATGAAACAGTCTAAACACAATTAACTTCACCTTCACTCTGATATTCTAAAGCATCTTCACAATGGGGTGTTGTCTGACTTCAAGAATCCATGAGTTGAATGACTCTGTGAAGTTATTATCCACCATTGAGTCCTTGCATTGTGTGTCTAAATATGCTCTACACCAGCTAGATGGTAGATACTTCAACAAGTCTTTCACACAATCCTCAGATACTTCACCTAGCTGCCTCAACATATCCTTAAATTCTTCTTCATATGTTTTCCAGGCAGACCACCAAAGTAGTTTTTCATCTCATCTGTATGTCAAATCTTACACCAATTTACTTCAATGTGCCCCGCACAATATCTATGATGAGCTTCTGGACATACTTTCCTAACAGCATCCAAGAGTCCCTGCATGTCAAATAGTTTTAGATTAAACTAGTTCCAAGTTCTATTATTTTCCCTGTCTACCACAACGCAAGCTAATGGATAAAAATATTTAGCAGAATCTTGAGCCACATCCACCAATAACATGCCTTGACATTTTTCTTTTAAAAATATGCCATCAAGTCCTATAAAAGGTGTCAAACCTGCTTTGAAGCCATTCTTGAAGGCCTGGAAGCACATATACATCCTCAAGAATCTCCTTTTACCTTTTTCCAATGCATCTTGGATATGATAACCATATCAGAACTAGGATTGTTGTCCCTCGATTCTTAGGCATATGTCTTCAACTTGTTGTACTTATCTAAGTAACTACCTTCTAGCTTCTCTAACACCATCCTTTTCACTCTTTTTAACTTTGACTAACTCATATTTAACTTAAATCTCTCATCCAACTCACCCTTCATTTCTTTCACCTTGTACTTGGGATTATTTTGAACATTTCTCTTAAAATAATGAGCTAAGGTAGCAGGAGTAGCTCTTCTATCCTCAAATGCTTTTCCGCATTCATGTTCAGTATGTGAAGTCTTTATCTTGACCCCTTGGTTATTTTCATCCTTAGAAATAAGGCATTTAAAAGGACAACCAGCAATACACTTATATCTAAGTCATTTCCTATCACTCATAACTACCTCTAAAGCCTTCTTATTTGCAACAAAATAAAAATTAATAACCTCTTTCGGTTCAGCAAATTCCTTAAATGTCATACCCTTTACCAAGATTTTGTACCTATCAAGTTGGTTTGTTACCTCAAGTTTCCTTTGCTTCCTAAATACCCCCAACACAACATCACTATCATAATCACTTTGCACAAGTTCATTATCTATAGCCTCTTCCTCACTATCATAATCAGTGCCAACAGTTATATGTTCACTGTTGGTATCAGTACGTTAAGTTATATTAGGACAACTACAATATCATCAAGGAGGTCAGTAGTAAATAAATTAATAACCCTAAAATTTTTATTAATGAGGGACTGAAGTTTTCTAATTCCTTTATCTCCATCCAACAAATAATATCTACCATATGGAGCAATAAAAATCAGTTGTTGTACCTCGACATACCCTTGTACATCAGTGTATTCTTTACACAAATCAATGTAGGACAAATGGCCTGCTTCATGCTCTCTCAATAGGTACACATTTTTTTGTATAATAAGATAAATCAAGTTCCAGTTCCCAATCACCATCACGATTAAAGTACAAATCTATTTTATCAACCATTCTTCTGACATATCCACATGCAATAAAAAAAAATTACAAAAAAGAGGACCACTTTAGGCATACAGTCTAAAAGATATCAAGCAATAAAAAAAATAAAGGATCGCGGTTATGTCGACTAACACCCACCCAACAACACATAAAAATCGAAAAAGACTAACTTTTTCATGTCGAACAAAGACGAATGGAAAACAAAAATTAAAAATAAATGCATAAAGGAGCAAATAATAATATCATATGACATATATTAAATACAAAAAAGAGACAACATTTACCGATTCTCAAATATTCTCAAACCCTAAAAGTTTACCCAAAGCATCAAATACTTACTTTTATCTTCGATTCTCCCGTCAGATAAACCTAAAAATGAAAAATTCTTCAGTTTTAATCCACCAAATTGGAGCATATGGCAATCATAATTAAACCCTAAAGTGCCATTACTGAGAGACCTAATTTGACGGAAAAGAGGTAATAAAATAAAATGGGGGTAAAAGAAATTAGTAGGTAGAAATATAGTATTTGTACTATGGGTTGGACCGAAAAAATGGGACGGGTCGATATTTGGGGCGGGTTATAATTGATATGGACCAGATAGCCACGTGTCTCAATCAAATCGTGACAACACATTAAAAGATGGGACCACAGATGGTTCCGTTAGTGGCGGGGATAATTTCAAACCACAAGATAACGTTAAATGTATTTTCAGACCAATAGGCGGATGGAGAGTGATAGTAAACCATTTAGAATACTATAGGGGTATTTTAGCTCTTTTCCGTTTAATTAGTTGTACTCCCTCCATTTCAAAAAGATTAGTACTATTTTTTTATTAGATTGTTTCAAAAACATTATCACCTTTTTAATAATTTATAGTGGGAAGTAGGGGTGTTCGTGATTCGGTTTGGATCGTTTTTTTCATAAAAAGAAACCAAACTGAGTAAGTCGGTTTTTCAAATATTAGAACCAAACCAAACCAGTTAATTCGGTTTTTGTCGATTTTTTAATTTTTTATCGATTTTTCCTTAAATATGAGACATACACTACCAAACACATATTCCGGCGACTACATTTTCAACGTAACACTATCAAACCAAATATTCTTTGAGAAATCTATCATTTACCAAGATATATTGATGATAATTGAATCGAATAATGGTGAATAATTTAAGGATTCAATTAAAATTAAAATGGATTATTTTTAACATGAAATATATTATTGTACTTAGCAAAAGAAAACTACCAATCAAACTAGAATATAAAGGAAAATAATTGGATTATTATAATAGCAAAGCGCTAGACTAAAAATGCAAACAGTTAACATGTACTATAATATTTTGAGAAAATACATGATTCACCCATTAAACATGTCCGAAAAAATTATTTACGACCCTTAACTTTACGGGTGACTTATGACCCCCTTATTTTTGTTTGTGGTGAATTTAATACCACCCTAAATGGTGAAGTGGCAAAGGCAGTAGTTTCACTTTCCCAAACTCGCGCGTATGAGGGAAAGGATTAAAAATAGACACATATTTTTACTGTGTGCGTCCCTTTTTCTTTTACTTCTTCTTTTCTTATTTTTTTCTCTTTTTGTTTTCTCTCTCTACCTTGTCTTCTTCTCGTCACCATTCCTCTTTTCCCGCCCAAGGTACTATAGTATCTCCATTCTTCGCCATACACCATTATATCTGCCACCATCCCCTCTTCTTTTTTTCTTTTTCTTCTTCTTTTTCTTCTTCTTTTTCTCTTATACTTTTTCTTTACCCAAGTAGAAATACTCTCCACCACCTTTCAGCTGTAGCAATACCACGTGTACTTTTCCCACCCATATATAGCCATATTGATGCCATTCACCAACTTCTACTTGCTAAAACAATCTCGTGTTTCTGATTTATTTTTTGTAATATTTCGTTGAACAAAAATGAATAAATGGTGTAATTTGGCCTCTTTAAAATATTGTTGTGGTTTTTTTCTTAAAGGAGTAATAGTGCAGATGTTGAAATCATTAGCTAACTTCTAAATGTTTGCTTGCACCATGATTCTTGAATTTCACTTTATTTGAGTTGAGTTCTTAGATGATACATATTAGTTTACTTAGTGTCAAATTATGAGCTTGATATTTTTGTAAAATATTTCCCACTAAAGGGTCTTTTGAAAGAGGGAAGAGCATAGAATGGCCTAAGGATCAATAGCTCACTTTGAAGCCATTGATAAGTTACCGTTTATTGAAATTTGAAAGTGCTTTTCCATTTGGACATAAATTTTATCGAAGCTTGACGGATTTTAACTGGCTAAAAAATTTGGGATTCGCCGGCATCATTTTTCCAACGAGGAGTTTTCCCCCTACATTTTAAAGCTGAAAATGATGGATCTTCGATGGTGTATGTAGTGATAATGATGACACGAAAACAAAAAAAAAAACTGAGAAAAGGTAACGAAATAAGTGGAGGAAAAAAAAAATAAAGCAGCTTTTGACACGTACCGAACGGTCATAGGTCGCCCGTAAAGTTAAAGTACGATTTTTCCGGACATGGGCAACTTATGTCTTTTTTCTATTTTTTTATAGAAATTTTATATAAAAATATATATATGTATAAGTGTAATAATAATTTTAAAATAGTTACTTGTTTCTTCGATTTTTTTCGGTTATTTTTTTTTTAAAATCAAAATCAAACCAAATTTGATTGATTTTTAAAATTCAAAATCAAATAAAAAAAGTACCGATTTTTTCGATCGATTTGGTTTAATTTTCGGTTCGGTTCGATTCGATTCGATTTTTCGGATTTTTATGAACACCCTTAGTAAAAAATATTTATAATCATATAAATATTATGATTAATTTTACGCCACAAGTTTCAAAATATATACAATCATATAAATACTATGACGTTAAGATCACACAATTCACAAGTTTTTTCTTGTTTATTAGAATTTATGGCAAATCGAAAATCTTTTTTAAAACTGAGGATTACAAAGAATGCCTGGGATGGAGTCGAATATATTTTTTGCCCATGTTGCAATCTCTAGACAACAACAATAACGGCGTTAATAAAATCAACCCTGGTTTTAAGTAACCTCGGCCCAGCAAACACACATCACCCCTGCTGCTTCATTTTCTCACACGTACACCGCTCTCATGCAAAAAAACAGCAACGTGTCACCAGCCAAATATTCTCCTACCGCCATTGTTAAGAGCTCCAGTTAGGAGCTTAATTTCAGCCTACATCTTTCCACTAATTTCCTCATTCTCAGTACTTCTCTTCACCCAACCAAAATGCAGAACCAACCAGAGAGGAAAAATGTCCATGCCAAGTACGAAGAGGAAAAAGAACAAGAACAAGAGCAAGAGAAGAAGAGTACTACTGATAAGCAAAATGAAATTCCATTAATGGCGTTGAACCACGTATCGAGACTTTGCAAGAATGTGAAAGAATCAGTAGATTTCTACACTAAAGTTCTTGGGTTTGTATTGATTGAGAGGCCGCAAGCTTTTGATTTTAATGGAGCTTGGTTGTTTAACTATGGCGTTGGGATTCATCTGGTTCAAGCTAAAGATGAAGATAGATTACCCAGTGATACTGATACCCTCGACCCTATGGACAACCATATTTCTTTTCAGGTTTCACCCTCTTTCCGTTTCAAGATTTTCATTCCCTTTAATTTTGGTAGTCACTACTTTGGTTATAGTGTCACTTTTTGGCAATATCTTAAGTTAGGGTGCGTTTTATTCCCCATTCCCAAAATACATTTTCCATTTGGAGACTCTTCTTTATGATTTTTATATGGCTTTTAAATATTTGAAGTTATAAATATTTGAAGTTATTAATTACTGTGACTTATATTAGCTTTTAAATATATGAATTTTACTTAATAAAATTTAAAGATTCTACATTTGTATTTACAGTCAATTCAAATGTATTATTCTTTTTCGAGTGAGACGGGCAGTCAATTCAAATGTATCATTCTCTCTTGAGTGAGACGAAGAGAGTAACAAAAAGCCATTTTTCAAACACATAACATACATAACATGTACTTTTTTAAAATATAAAAGATCTATGTTGTTGAATTTTATGCGTAGAGCGAAGACATGGAGGGAATGGTGGAAAGGGTGAAGCAGTTGAACGTAAAATATTTAAAGAGAACGGTAGGAGAGGAAGAAGGAGCAGCTATTGATCAACTATTCTTCAGGGATCCAGATGGACACATGATTGAGATATGCAATTGTGAGAATGTGAAGTTGATCCCTCAACGTTCCATTGGCCGCATCAAACTTCCTTTTGATCGTCACATCCCTCCTCTTGAGTTGGGAAAAAAAGATGATGCCAATGCTGCCAAAGCTTAAAGGAAGATGCTTACTGTTATGTTTTTTAATTTGATTTTGGATGTAGCTTCTAATTTATTATATTATTCAAGATTTGAGTAATGTCTTCTCAAGTCTCGATTTGGTTCCTATCGTCTAATCTATTGCTTCTCTTAGACGTGGTTGCTATTGCCAGTATTCAGAACATAAATTAGCGGACAGGAGCACATTTTTATTGTCCTTTATATTTCGGTAAAGTTGTTTCCGGGTTCGAGTTGTGGAGTTATTCGAACTATAATTGTTTTTCGGGTTCGAGTTGTGGAGCCATTCGAGCTATGAAAATCGCCATTAATGCTTGCATTAAGATAGACTGTTTAAGTTAAACTTTACCAGATGACTTGTGCATCAGTTTTTTTATATATATGCTTTTTTTCATTTTTTCCGTCCCTTTGAGCTCGTCCATTCGTTGGGTGATCCCTTGGGTCGACGAGTAAAAAGGGACTGCCTGGGATTGAAGAAAACCAGCATCCGGGGACTGCCTGGGATTGAAGGATTGAAGGAAACCAGGATCATTCTGTAAAGCAGAATAAAATTTTGCAAACCCATTTCGGTACTAAAAAAATGATGTCCTATTTGTTATCTTCTATTAAGCAAAACATAAATTGGAATATTACATTGTGTAAGTAAAAAAATAAAACGGCAAATGTGAACTTTTTACTCAAATTCTCATTCTCCATGTTGAAATTTTTTCATTAATAAACGGCAAGTACAGGATGTTATACCAAATTTGTGCTTGAATTTGACCACAATTATTGAAATCGAGTTGAAACACAGCTTTCTTTATGATTATATCAACAACAAATAATATTTGTATTTGAATTTGACCTCAATTAAAATCGAGACGAAACAGAGCTTCTTTATAGTTATATCAACAGTTAAAATATTTTTCACAACTAAAACAAAAATACATGTATAAATATATTGTTATCACGCTATCTATACTTTGAACTTATTATATTACTCATAGCATACGTTCCTATTCAATGTTCGATATTTGTAGCTATATTTGAACTAATTCAGATTTTGTTGTAAGGTCCATTAAAATGAGAAGTGCTCCTTATTACAATATTTTACACACAAATTTTTTGGTTGAGTAAATGCATGCTATCATGCATTAGTAGAGTAATGTGAATGATATTAATGACTTCAAAACACAACACATATAAAATTAGGAGTAATTTTCATGGGTGGTCATTCAATTTTGTGTTTATTTTTCAAAAGTCATCTTTTTTTCTTTTGTTACTTAAAAGTCATTCAATTTTGCATTCATTACCCAAAAGTAATTTTTTTTTTCTTTTGTTACACAAACATTATTTTACTATGCTCTAGTTATCACAATAGTCAATCTAACCACATTTTACAAACCTTTCATCTGAAAAATCTATTATGCTCTTGACATTATGCAACACCTTCTATATTATATACTATATAATATACTTTTACTCAAGTATTTTACTTATAATTAAAATAACTTAATATTATTTTATTTATTATTTTATAATATATTCTTACATTTAATTTTTTCTTAAAATTAATTTTCAAGATATATAAGTAGTATTATTAAATTTGTCGGTAATATTACTGTGAACAAATCTCAAGTCCACGTTCTTAACCATGCTTAATAAAATATTTTTATTGAAAATTATAAAATCAAAGTTCACTGATTTATCGACCAAGCCATACCCATTAATTCAATAAATAAAATACTTATATTTAACACAATGACACGTCGGATTAATACTTTCAAATAAATAATATTAACAGATAAAGCTTTAAAAAATTTAGTTAACACAAATATACTTTGAAACTTTTTCTAAATTTCTTATTAACTATAAAAAAAATTATCATTTGTTAAACAAATCTAATTTTATAATTTCAAAAAAATATTAAAAAAAATATTTTTATATTTAAAATATGTTCATGTTTGAATATGGTTAAACATATTGAGTGCCATGAAATATATATTATAAAAATAATAAATAAAATAATATAAAGTTATTTTAATTATAAGTAAAATACCTAGGTAAAAATATATTATATAGTATATAGTATATAGAAGTTGCTACATAAATGAGAGGATATATAATGTCAGTGGCATGATAGACTTTTCAAGTAAAAGTATTATAAAATCTAGCCAATGTGACTTTTGTGATAAATAGAGCAAAGTAAAATAATTTTTGTGTAATAAAAAAAAGAAACATGACTTTTGAACAATGAACACAAAGTTGAATGATTTTTACGTAACAAAAAGAAGAAAAATGACTTTTGCATAATAAACACAAAGTTGAATGATCACTCGTGAAAATTACTCATAAAATTAGATATATATTATAATAAATATATAACTTTGGACCATTTCATTTATAAAAATATAAAATTAGGAAAGATGGACAAATAGTTTTGTGGAACTTTATAAACTTATTTTTAGTTTTTTTTACACATGGAAGTTTTGATTTTACACATAAAAATTTTATCTTTTATCCATAAATCTAAAAAAGGACACTTCCTTAATTTTAACATCGTAAATGGCCACCGTAAATGCCCATTACCCCTCAAGAAAAGGTCGAGTCACATGCTAACGTTTGGTTCAATCACATCAATTCCTATTTCTGATGTTTGTTAAAGAACTTTTTCATAAATTGGCACAAACCAAACACAAACAAATTTAAATAAAGAAGAATTAACCCAAATAGCCATACATTGAAGTTCGTTAAAAACAAACAGAAAATGAAGAATTTCTCTAGAAATAAGCCGTCAGTGTTTAAAACGGTAACGAAATCCTTTTGTGCTCTTTAGTTTAGATTATAGTTTTGTTCTTTTTTTTTTTCTTTTTGTTAAATTAATTAACTTTCTAGTGATCACTTCTTGTTTGGCTTTATGGGCCAACCCAATTTTGGACAAAAAATTCGTAGAATATTAGTCCAACCCATTTAATTACCTCACCCATTAAGTGTATTTTGACGTCTTTAATTATGAGCAAGGGAGAAAAGCTGTGGATCATTGGATTGCCAACTGCTGGAAGTTGGAATAAGGTTGTGCGATATGAAGGAGGTCAAATATGTAAAGTTACAAGAATTTCATATGTATTGTTAGAGAAAGTACTAATTAATTTAATAATTTTCTCAACGTTAGGTTAATCATTGCTAAGACAACATTAAGTGAGGTTTTTTGATCTGTTTAAACTTTTAATGAGTCAAATTCTTATACATGTGTTCGTTCTCCTGTTTGATTCATAGGAAGAGGGGAAGATTTAGGGAGAGCATGGAGCTATAGATGTTACAAATATTTTTAGGAAAAGGAGAAGATTAGCTAATTTCTGTAATTTTCAGTTACAGTTCCCGACTTTTAGTTAGGTATATGCAGGGCAGTCTTGTCATTTAACAAAACGTCCACCAACGCATTCCACGTGACAACCTATCATTGGTCGTACGACGAAAGTTGAAGCCCAATTTCCGCGTCTGAATTTCCAATATTAGCCCTTACCTTTCATCAAAAACCCCTTCTCCCTTATTCTCCAAATGAAATTCGACCTTTATATTATAGTACCGAGTATATATTAAGTAGTAACAGAAGAGATAAAGGAACAAAGCAAATAAGGAAAATATAGGAACTATATATGCAGAAAAATCTAATCTGAAAAATTCCCAAACAAGAAAAAATAAACAGAGAGAGACTCCACACTCTCTCCTCTCTCTTTCTCCCTCTCGATCTATACTTTCTCTCTGAGAAAAGCTTCGATCCCAAATTTCTCAAACCCTAACCCTAGATCTCTTCATTCCAAATCTACGCACAATTTCTTCACATATATCGATTTGATTTCTGGTTCGGTGTGTGTAGATAGTTTCAATTTCGATTTGCTGATCCGATGGCGAGCATAAAGGTGGTGAACAGATCGGCATCGGCGGCGTTCGCGCCGGAGGCACCGTATCTGGCGGCGGGAACGATGGCGGGAGCGGTGGATCTGTCATTCAGCTCCACTGCGAATCTTGACATTTTCGAGGTCGATTTCGTATCGGATGATCGGCAGCTGATTCTCGCCGGTTCGGTTCCGAGTTCGGAGCGGTTCAATCGGCTATCTTGGGGTAAATGTCAATCGAACTCGGAGGAGTTCTCGCATGGAATCATTGCTGGTGGGCTTGTTGATGGCAACATTGGGCTTTGGAATCCGAAGCCTCTGATCTCGTAATTCCAATCTCTGTTTTCCTTAATTGAATAGTTATATTTCGTTTTCTTTTTCGTGGTTAGTTATCGAGTTCACGTTATTGCTCATTGTGATGATGTACTGTTCATTTGCGCATGTATAGGAAGAATTCTTCATGTAGAAGAGATGAACTAAATGCAGACGTTTAGTGTCTTCAAAATTTGTTCTTTTGGTGAAATGGTGGTGCTGTAAATGAACTAGATCAGCTATTTGAGTTCCAGGTTTCCTTGCATATTTGAAGGACAGGATTCCTTTGATTTTGGTACCTTAAGCGCACTTTCTTTGTGCTGAAATATTAATAAAATTATTTATTATTATCATTAATAAATGCACAGGCTTGGTGATTATTGTGGAGTAATTGAACTGGGATGTTTAGAAGTTGGGTTGGCAGTGAGGAGTGAGGAGTGAGGAGTGTTTCTGGTTACTCCTTCTAAGTTAAGGAATCAAAGTGATCATGTCTTTTCAAAAGAATTTATTTATGGTTGAACTATGTTTGCTGACATAACTTGGACAGGAGAATTTTCGAACCAATCATCTCTTATCTCCCTAACCTAGTGGGGCATACTTTTGTCGTTTAATTTTTCTAAAGATTTTTAATGTTCATGTTATGTACAGAATGTACGTGGCAATATATTGATGTGACACACAATATGTGTGACCTGTTATGGGCATGTAGCACTGCTGAATCCAAAGTTGCTGTCTGCATTTTACTCTTACATTTTTCAACCAAAAAAAAATGAAAAAAATAAACCCTCCTGATAAAGGTTGTTCCAACTTCCAATTTAACCTCTTTTGAGAGAAGTTCATTGAGACCCTTTTTGTTGTCTTCTTTAAACCTATGCTTGTAGCCTTGTAGGGAAAGAATTCTTTTTGTTCTTGTTTACTTAGTATTGAGAAAGGTGTAAAAAGGTAGCA